TTCCATAGAGTGCACATTAAAGTCCCAAGGCTGAAAATGCGATTCCATAATACATTGCGTGTTAAAATACAATTATCTCTACAATTTTTCTCCTGGCCAAAATGGGTTTGTTGAAGTGATTTTCAAGAAAAAACCATCCAAAGAATTCCCAGTTTCCGAAAATTAAAAAAAACATCCGTTGTATAAGTTCAAGGATATCATAATTATCGTCACAACCTCGAACGGTCGCAGTACAATCTCCTGTTTCTGACAGGTTTACTTAATACTTCGTCTTCTTAATTCTTAGTCGATTTAAATATAGTTAAAAGTTATTCATCTATTTCGTTAACGTTAAAATTTAATTACATTTTTCGTCTCACGAAGTCATTATCTCAATATGGCAGATTGTATGCTTACATCGCTGTATTGAAAAAAATATTATTAAAAATAGAAACCAATATAATTTATTAGTTACTCATAAACCTCAAATTAACTATAAATTTATTCATATTTTTACCATATATTTCATGAAATATACTCAAATAGAAACTTGTACTTTCCATGATAATTTATTTGTTACTAGTAATTTAGTATTTGACTAACGAGATATTTTGTTATTCTTATATTGTGGATTATTAGTAATTTTATTTGCAACTTATGTTTTTCTACAGCCGAATTGTGACAAAAAAATAGAAACTATCCTTACTTTAAGTGTAAGTTAATGTTTTTTATTCGAAAATTGTTTTTTATAGCTTCAGACGTTATAGTGTAGTAAAATACTTTTTTTAAGACTAGGTTTTAAATGTATTTTGGTGTACGTATTTCTTCCTATCAATATTAATATTTGTCCCTAGGATATTTATGATCTCAGTCTGGTAACGAATTTATACCCTCTAGTTACAGACAGTTTCATCACTAATTTTGGTCATAAAGTTCATTCGTGTGTCATTAACTCTTATTGGCCTATTCACTAATTATAAACTAGTTTTGAGAAATGTATTTGTTACGTGATATGTAGACTCAATAAGTAGAATATAATTTTACCCCGAATATGAAATTATCAAATTTTTTATTAGAAACTTCTATGATGAGACTTGTTTAGTTTATGATAAAAAAAAAAAAATAGTAAAGTATAAAGAAAAAATTAGTTATGAATTGCATGTAATTTCTCTTGATATTTATTACCAATATGGTTGGTCAATTATGATAAGATGTACTAATGAGCTATAATTTGCTTTTCTTGTTGTTTTTCTTATCACTGTTTTGACGTTTTATTTAAAAACTGTACAAACTTATGAGAAATAAAATATGACACTATAAAAAAAAATTCAGAACTTTATTTTCGTTCAAGCCAAAAAATTATAATTTTATTTCAAGACTACTTGCGTTTCTTAGACAAATAAAACCAAACAAACATGCTGATTTAGACATATTTTTGTAAACTATTTTACCTTATGACATTAAGTCGGCCTGTTTTTCCGGTCGTTCGCCTCCTAAAACTTCTCGACTCGGGTGAACGATCGACCACGTGCTGCTGTGACTCCCCTCGGTGGTCCGTTCGTCCTTGACCGGGCACGAGGCTGTGTTACCGCCACTCGAATACTCATCGCTTAGTATCCTTTACCTAGAAAGATACTCGCGTTTCGATCATCTCTTTCTTATCTTGGACTACAGTAAAGCTAACATCAGCAGTCAACAGCCGCGGAATGCAGTCCGAAATTTCACCTCCGGTCCATTACATTATGCAATCGTAAAATATATAATTACGTTATTTTTGAGCTAACAAACGGACCTTCCCCTCGAGGGGATTTATTATATTCTTCTAAAAAATTCTGTCGGCCTTGACGTAACTAACGACGTAACTTTTTGTCTATAAAATATTCTCATCGATTCAATCCAAGTTCATATGTAAACGTGTTAAACTGATGTTGCACAATGCGTATGTTTTATACGTCTTCGTATAATGTATATTATCTCCCAAGAAGTACTGGTAATTGTGTACATTATTTGTACCCTGATCTCGGAGATACCTCCGCACAACAAGGTTCTATGGTGATGCGATCGTGTGCGTTTGCGAAACTGTACTATAGTTATGACGGCGGCAATATGTCTTTACATGTTACCTATAATGAACCATATGCCATGGCGATATTTAGTCGTATATACAAGGCGAAAGTGAACAAACGCATCGCACTTATTACAACGTCAAGGCGGAGGATATCCAAGGTTTTTACGACGACCACGTACGTAACTATGTCAAATAAAGCTTTGGTGGATAAATCAATTATCTGTTGGTAATGCCTTACTAATATTTAACCTACATCATTAACGAAAACCCGCTTCCCTCGTTGCTTTTACACCTTAATCAGGTCACCCAAAAACTAACTGATATTTACCAAGAACTGTTGTTAGTTTACCCTACAGAAGTTTCTGTAATCATAAACATCCGTTTTTGTTTTATCATACAACTGTCGTGATTCTTTATGATTTTATTGTTTTATATTATTAAAGATCTTTAAACGTGATGTTATTTTTTATTAAATAATCTATTTGTATTATTTTATAATTAATCCTTCACATCACACAATCAAACGCGATTTGCTCTTTAAATGCGTAAAATAACTCTTTATTAATCAGTCATCATTTTTTTCTATATTTTCTTAATTCGAGTACTGACCACGTAAAATATTTTGAGAAGTATTATTAATCTTGTTCAGGCCTACTCATAACGCGACATGAAATAAAAATAAAACAAAAATGATCTATGCAGTAAGTACATCAATAAATCAAAACACTACCTTAATATCTAATGTACTGTAGCATTTGTTAGGTATATGGTATACCTGAGTTTTATTTCCATAGAATTACCAAACAACTGAATTTCATGCAATTGTTACAACCATTGTTAAAATAGAATTAATCTTGTGAGAACAAATAATTAATCAGTTTTCAAATGAGGTATTTTAATTATTTCATTTATCGATCGTCTAAAACGTAGTTTTAAATATTCTCCAAACAAGATTTACTACAAAAGATAGTAAACTTCTGATTAAACATGAATATAAGATCCGGTTATTTTATAAATAAAACTGACCGATCGTTAAAATCTCCACATCGTTACGTTTCCATATACTGTCTTAAATTCATTCATGTAATTCCTGTTGGTGGCGTTTTAATTTTAGATGAGATGATTAACAACTATCAAGCCGGTTTGATTTGTCCCTAGTTCTGTTAATTGAAATTTTGATGATAATTTTAAATCGGTCAAATCCACACAATTATGAATAACCAATGAACCGTGACCTCCTGTATCAGCACATTCATGCATATATTATCAAATACAAACGCGACGGTGGCAACGACCGTCTCCTGCCGAATTCAATATTTTCGGGCAAAGGTCATTTGCGTGGACGCACAATTAGTGTCTACGTCGATCATAAAGAGGCGTCACCGGGCGATTCGGTTAGGCAATTCGTATTACTTTGATGATACAAAAATATGACGCGTTGTCGATAAAACTAAATAATGTTTTTTTTTTACAATATGTGTGTAACATTCTCAATAAAAATTAATAAAATAATGTGAACACATCTTGTTGACTGGTATTATAATAGTGTATACGAATAATGACCAGTGAAAGTATTTCGAAACTAATATAATATTGAAATCCGACGTTTGTAAATGTTTCCAGACGAGACGATGATCGTTAATAACAATATTATTGTAATCGACTTGTTGTTCAACATTGCCACTTCAGTCGAACATGGATGAAATTCCATCTCATATAACTCGTATCTTCTTCTCAATCCGGCATCCTTTTCTTTTTTTTTTTTTGTCAAGTAGTAGATTATGAAACATTTTTGTGTCCATTAATTCTCAGAAGAATATTGATTGCCCACAATCCAAACGTTCGACGATTCATGATAAAATTTAACGTACACGTTCAGTATACAAAAGGATATTGGAATAAATAATTGTTCGGCGAATCTTTGTTTACTACTGTGTCTATTCTAAGAACAGTTTTGCACAGTTACTCAATGCGTTTATTTCACATACCTTACTGTCATAATGTTAAACACAGCAACTCAATATAAAACAAGAGAAATCGCCACAAATAAACGTAACATAATTATGAACTTCCGTAAATTATTCTTATAATCATAACGTCTTTCCAAACAAGCGCTTTTGTTTAGCTGTAGGTGTTTTTGTTTTTTACGCATATAGTTCTGGTATTTTCATTCAAGCATTTTTCATACAAAGCAAAACTAATAGATGTATGGATCTATTGTCGGTATAGGCAAACTAGGGTGGTAATAACCATATGCATTTACATTAGCCACCTAAAATAATAAAATAATACAAAATTAACTCCTTTCTATCATAGGCGGACTCACTATATGTAAAAAATATTAGTGCAAAAGTATATACAAGATTTTATTAAACAAAGAGAAATATTTGTTTTACTTCTATTTCTCATAACAATGAACTAATTTCCTTAATTATTAATCTCCTAATATAATCTTCTAAATCTTGGGAAAGACTAAAATTATTAATATTGACAACCAATCAACTAAAAAATTTTTATAGCTACTTTTTTGCTCATCACTTAAAAAAAAATCAAAATAAGCCAAAATACTAGAAATGCTAAGCACGTCCTAGTTCTTCAATATATGAGCTAATTGTGAACATTTAACGATATATTCTCAACATTTTAATTCAACTACTTAATATAGTTGACATTATTGAATTAATTGAAATTATAAGTCTTAACTCAATTGTAACGTGTTAATTGATATATTACTATATAAGAGATAAAATGAGTCATATCCTAAATATTTTGCATCGTGAAATATTTTAGATATTTATTTTAATGCAATTAATAATTTTTCTTTCATCACAGTACTTTTGATATTCACTTTCGTTTTAAAAGAAATATTATTATAATATGTAGCTGTATGTTAATCAAAAAAAATATTACATGTATTTTTTTTATTTTTAAATATTATAAATTTAATTTATAGGTTGCCATGGCCGGTGATTACATTTTAGCTGTAACCTCCATGATGATCGCCAGACTTAATCACAGTGATGTAACTATCACCCTTAGTCAAGTACGTTTTTTCATCATTTATTTTCAATCATTTCTTCTTTTTTTTTTATGACGTAAAAATATTACTATAAAATTAATATGTTTCTAATAATATGTAGATCATCACAGATTTGGTACAAGGAGAATTTATGCAACTTGGTTCAAAAGAAACTGAAAATGAAAGGTTTGCTCATTACCTGACGAAAACATACCGAAAAACAGCCAGTCTTATTGCCAATTCCGTAAAAGCGGTAAATTATTTTAGAACAATTGATTGAAATAGTATTAGAAAACAATTTTTTTTTAAATCAAGGTCACAAATCAAACTTTCATCGTGAAATAGTTAAATTTTTCTTAAATTAATAAATTTCTAAATACTTGCAAAAACGTGCAAGTTTCTTATCATAAAGAGATAATCAATAATTTATTTTTAACCAATTATAATTATTTAGTGTTTTCTTCTATTTTGACGCTACTTAATTACACACCATGTAGCTATCGTTTATGCATTTATAAGATTTCTTTTTTTACGTCTGGTTGCGTTTCAAAGAACCACTAACAATCCACTCAATTCATAAACATTTTTTTATAATTGAAATTATACTCGAATAATTTTACTTTTTTTGTAGAACTTAAGAAATTAAGTATTCTTATTAAACTAATGTTTTACACAAATAAATCGATTTTAATCTTATTTGTGGACTTATAGTGAAAGGCAAATTATTTAATTAACACTTACACTTGCAGGAAGCAATATTAGCCGGCGCCGATGATAAATTAGTAGAAGTTTCGTTTGAATACGGTCGTAATATTGGGCTTGCGTTCCAACTAGTAGATGATCTATTGGATTTTGTTTCCAGTGAAGATGCAATGGGCAAACCAACTGCAGCTGATTTGAAATTGGGCTTAGCCACCGCTCCTGTACTATTTGCTTGTGAAAAGGTACCCTATTTGAGCTATGTTAATTCATATTGACTATTATATATTATGACCCCTTGCGTTCTATTTAACATAAATACTACATGTTTTATTTTTTTTTTCAGTATCCAGAATTAAACGCCATGATCATGAGGCGGTTCCAAGAACCAAGAGATGCAGAGCGCGCCTTTGAGTTAGTGCACAAGTCACAGGGTCTCGAGCAAACGCGGTTTCTTGCCAAGAAACATTGTCTAGAAGCCATCCGATTAGCTGGTAAAATCGCTGAATCACCTTATCAAAAGTCAATGTTGGTTGTGCCAGACCTAATTGTAAATCGCATGAAATAGTCTTCTACTTTAGCACTGGGATAATGACAACACACAACAACTTACACATTTATAAGAACTTTATAGTATACCAGTTGATCAAGAACTAGTCCCAATTATTTAAAAATAATGAAAAAGTATTATGTTTAAAAAATTTATTTATATTGTTAAAAATTTTTAATGCCAAACATTTATAGGCACTTTTTTGTTATTGTATTATGTTAAATGTTTGATATATTATTAGTATTAAAACCCTAAAATAATTGTATATTAAAACAGTTCTTAAATTTGAATCATTATTTTTCTATATGTTAACGAATTTTGCACATACTTGTTATTGTGAAAAGTAATGTTACTGAGACTCTTTAACTCAATTTGTTAATCTATGTATGTTTTATTTACTTTTTCTGTTTTTAATGTTACTCAAAATTATCTTGTTGTTAATCTTTTTAGTTAAAATAACAATGCAATATTTCTCTTCTTATTAGTTATTTAATTAGTGTTATATTATTAACTTGCAAAATAATTCATTTATAATTTAGTTTATTATTCATGTACACTATACTCTCATTTTAACAGCCAAAAAATTATTAGCGACTAACTCTCCAATTATTTAGTATTGGTACTTATAAAATGTTGAAATAGAGATTGTAGTATACTATTTAGATTGTAATTTGTATTAAATCTATCTATATAATTTTATACTATAAAACTAAAATAATCCCTTTTAGATCATTGACTAACAACACCTTATTTTTCCATTTTACTTAAAAAAGCAATACTTGTCAAAAGTAAAAATACTGTAAATACCAAAGAAGAATTATTATTTTAGTTATCTTTAAAAAATATACATATTATTAGTCTACAGCTTAGTTTTAATTTATAAGAATAATTATTATTATTATTTTTTTAATTACCATTTAAAAATTTACCAATGTGTATAAAAATGTGTTAGTTTTTTTTTTTGTAAATTTGTTGTAAATCTGCATATATAACATGGGTAACGGGATAATAATATAGTAAATTATTTTAAAAAACACATAAATATATTTAATTTTTAAATATGCATGTATAATTAGGTAATACACTGTTAATCTTTTAATAATTTTGTCTGGCTTTAACCTTATTGCAATTGTGTTGATAGTTTATTATTTTTGTGCATTTCTTTTCTGCATATTTCATTATGATAAAGGATAATAATGATAATGATGAGGATAAAGAACATAAATGTAATGAATAAATTTTATGTTTTAATTATACATTTTATTAATATTACCCAGTTAGGATTTATTTAATGACTTTTAAAAAATAAGTGGTCAGTTGTACCAATTTTTTATGAAATATCACTGGAAATAATAGTACCTTAAGTTACAATAAAATAAAAATTTTATTTTTTAGTTTTAAGTTTTTTGTTTTATTATAAAACATTAATTCTTTTTAATTAATGCCATGAAGGAAAGTACTACTAGTTAAGATCAAAATTAAATTACCGTCTTAACTCTCCAGGGTGTTCAGTGAGTAGGAATCAGTTCCATTATTACAAACAATGAGAACAATAGAAACCTGTTTCCTTAATTACTGTACACCCATATATATCACACCTATTTAAAATTTAAAAAACAATTTCTTAGCTTCCCCTACTTCATTATTATGTTTATTTTATTAAGAGATAACCCCACTGCTTCTAAAATAAAACGAAAAATATTTTTATACTACTATATAAATTTGATTTTGAACCAAAAAACATGGAAAAATGGTCTCATAAATTTATAAAATTTATGGTCTCATAATTGATTATATTATATAGATTATAAAAAATTTTCATGCATAATTTTATGTTATAATTCACTCTTCGAAATACTATTTTAAGGTTATAAAATAATTTTATAAAACTTCAATCGTTTTTTATTAGATATATATTTTAGCTTCGATGCGAAGCTGAGAAGGTATTAATTTTACCATGATGTGTTTTTTTTTTTATTTATTTATTTTAGCTTCGATGCGAAGCTGAGAAGGTATTAATTTTACCATGATGTGTTTATTTTTTTTTTTATTTTTTTTATTTTACTTTGGTTTGATTGATTCATTTAATTAAAGTAAATTATTAAAATTNATTTTACTTTGGTTTGATTGATTCATTTAATTAAAGTAAATTATTAAAATTAATTAAGTTCTGAATATTTCAATTGCAGAATTTT